ATGAGAAATTCTCCACCGGACTGGACAAAAAGTGAGTCAATGTTACAAAGATTTATCATATATCTCTGATTAAATGTCTTATTTCCAGAAATACTGCTTACCTTTTCTGGAGGAAAAAAGAAATCTAATACTACAGCAAATGATAAAAAAAAGAAAGATCAGGAGACAGCCAGGAAAGTTACTAATTACTTTTAAAATGGTAATTGGAACATCTATAGTGATAACTATATTTTTCATGTTTCCTTTTCTCATTCAGTGGTTCCTGTCCCTACTTGGCTGGATTCTCTTCTAACAATTCTGTACTTCCTTTGTTTCTCAAAATCGAGCTGGTGATGCAAATGCTTACTTGCAGTAATGGGGACACTGAATAAATCTTTCTAGGATTAAGAGATAAACAGAGTTTGGGGCGGAACTGAAAGCAGCTGAGAAGTTATGTAAAAACCTAAGTAATGGTATTTCATTTCTGTGCTTGGAAACCTCTGCCAAGTCGAAGTTGGGAATTAGGAATCTATTCTTCTCAGAAAAGTGAGAATGACCTTGTTCTAGCCATTTTTAAGACTAATTAAAACATGTGAATCTTGTGAAGCTACAAAACTGTTGTTTAGATATTCAGGAGCTGCCCTGTTCCTCTAGAACCACATGTGTTCATGCATGGAGGGATGGTTTTTGGACATGATTTTTCTGCCAGTGTGAAGCCAGTGTGAAATGCTGAGCAGAATGGCATGAGACCCTGAGAGCTCAGCTAACTATTGTTTTATGAGGAATTTATGCCAGCTGAATGTGTCAAGCTGACAGCTGAAGTAGCCAAAGATTTCTGTCCATTATAGAAATAGCACTGCTGGTGATAGGTGAAGGATTCAGACATGTTTCTTTTTAAACTAATATGGCCTGGATGTATTAACTGCAAAAAGAGATGTTGAATTTTCACAATAACCCTGCAGATCTGAACTTACTTCCATTACATACCTTTAACTTAAATTTTAAGAATCAATGAGAGACTTGGATATACTTCAGGGAAGGATCCTTCAAGCATCAGTTCCCCAGTTCTTAGTTCCTTTGCTCTGGCTACTATAATTTTACTGTTGCTATTGGTAAGTAGTTGGATTTGTATAAGGGACTTTTTGTCATTATAATTCAGTGAAGAAGGTGCTCTCCTAATTATCCCAGCACCTTGGAACTAGGAAGTGAACACTTCTTGTATAAAGACTTGGTGTGGGACTGTATTTTGCCCCATTTCTTGTCATGAGATCTTGCTATATACGAACACCATGGTACTAAACAAGACATTTGCATGAAGGAAATTTCAGCTTTAACTGTGGCGGAAATCCTGTTTACTCAACTGGGAGTTGCTGTGCTTTCTCTTCTTTGATATGCTATGAACCGGGCTTTTGAAAAAAGCTTGACTTGGTTAGGCAAAGACTTTGACACTCCTCTTTTCAGCACTGCTTCTTATGTATCTGTTCTGAACAAGCTCTGCTATACTTATCATAATTGCATTTCTCAGCTGTCTAGAGAAAGAACATAAAACAATGCTGTACAGAGCAGAAACTTTACTTTTTAACACTATGGCATTTTATGCCTTTTTTTTTTTTAAAAAAAAAATCTGTTTTAATTGTTTGTTCCTTGTCTTCCTGTGCTTCATCAAAAATTTTGATGCCTTGACAATACCACATTATTTTTTATGGTAGTTATGAAGTTGTTCATCAACAAAGACACACATGTCTGGGGGCAGATCTCTGCTTAGGAACCAAGTTACAACATTTTCACTGAGGAAATTAAATAACATTCTAGATTCAAGATAATATTCAATTACACCTTCGTCTCTTAAGAGCCTGTATTCAACTCAAAAAGAAACTGATGTGACTCAGGGGATAATTCCACTGAGATATAAGACAAGTCAGGTTGCTATGTGACTGTGACACTTGACAAGGTGACCTTTAACAACACCTGTGTAAGGCACCCGGATTTGAAGATGCTGCTTCTCTGTTGATGCCAGTTCAAATACTGCTGCCAGAACAGCTGCCTGAGATCCCCACCTCCCACAGCCTCTGGATGCCACCCCGCCAGTGCCAGGCTGATAACTGGTCACGTAGTGGTGCTAGGTGGTGCATGACATGTGGTGGCTCATGTTGGCTCCGGGGTGATAACACAAGTTGCCTAAAAAATCGGCATCTGTTCCGCTTCGCCTAAGCTCTGCCAAGGAGAGCAATGCAGCTGGATTCCCCACCTATCTCCATGGTTTTTGCCCCCTTGGAGGCTGATTTCCTGCAGCTGTCAAGCACAGGAGCATGGAGTAGCTGGGAGGCGCACGGTTATCAAAAAGGGACTGACCCTATTCAAATGGCTTTATTAGTGGCCTTGGGGTCTCTCAGACAGGTTCTGGTGTCCAGTCTTTCCTCATTTTCACCTTGGTAGTAGTGTCTCTATCTTTGTCTGGCAGGCACAGTAACATGAACAAATGGAAAAAAAGAATGCTGTTTTATCCCCTATCACTGCCACAGATGTCTTAGGAATTTGATTTTGCAGCATTTAATCAATCAATTTTACTGACTCGGAGAGAATTAATCTCCTGCTACCACACTCTTATGATTCTGTGCAATGCAGTTATTTGAACAACAATGAAAAGCATATTATGATCTGAACTAAGCAGACACTATAGTATTTTAAGGCACTACTTCAGAATATTTTTTGTATTACTTTTTAAAACTTCCCTGGAATGATGGATTACTAATTTGAAAAGGGAAGAAATCGTTTCTTCTGTCTTCGGACTACAAAACATTTAGACAAACAGTTTGGTCTTCTTTAATATTCAAACCATTTTCATGTGAGTAAAGAAATAGTCATGTCTGATTCATTCACGAGATTATGAGATTTAGTCTGAACTCAGTCCTGCTTCCATTGAAGTAAATGGCAACACGCATAACAACTTCAATCCATAAATGGTGTTTTGCCCCTTTAAAGTATCAGTTAATGTTTTGAAGATATAGCACTCGATTTTTGGTTTATTTAAAGGAACAGTGAATATTAAAGGCTAGAAAATTCAAGCCACATCCTGAAGTCTTTACTGAATTATAATGGGATGATCATCTGTGTGAGAGCAGCATAAATGCTTTTGGAAACATCCCTCTGTTTGGAAAGGGACTTGCAAAAGAGATTTAATGTCTGGATTTCTTTTCCCAGAGACTGTTCATGCTTGTGAACACACTGGCTCTGATGTTAATGAATGTTTACAATGTCTGCGGTTCCAAAGGTCAGTATAGACTGGCACACTGCTTTGCACTTATGGTGAGGTTTATAATTATTTTTGATGCACATAGCAGAACAGTTACATTTTATAAAAAACGCACGTGTAACTAAACTAACCCACTCTAGCTGGCTCCGGATTAAGTCTCCTTAGGAAGAGGACTTACGTTTCAGAATGTTCCTCTGCTCCAGTTCCTCAGCAGTCGGCCTCTGGCTCAGTCGTCTGCGAAAAAAGTCCAAGATGAGTTTTTGAACCATATCACATCCTCTTCGGCTCAGAGACTTTAAGAGTTACTTTGTGGGGTGCAAGGCAGAGAGGCAAGCTTCTCAGACACTGCTCCATTATGTACTTGCTATGCCCGTGCCACACATGACACAGACCACGCTCCGCTTTCACCGTTTCCTCTGTTTTCAAGCCATGTTATGTCATCGCTGGCACGGCACTCCCACCCCTGCCCCAGGCAGAGCTGCCGAGAGCTAGGCTACACAGATGTCTTCACTTAGCTTCCTTCCTCCCATGCCTGTTTCCTGGCTTTCATGGGGATTTCGAGCTAGACCGGCTGCCCCTCTCCCTGCCCAGTTTGTTCAGACCCTGCCTGAACACACAGACGGGCCACAGAAAAAACAAGACAGGTTGGGCGGCACTGACTGTGGCACAGCAGTGACCTCCTCCTCTGCACGCTCACTCCCTTCCTCCCCATGCTGCTTTTAATAAGTTTTATCACGATAAACTAGCATGACCCTCTATCCGACCTGGGTATAACAAAGCCCAGCAACAGCAGTCGAGTTGCAAGTGGGGTCCTGAGCACGGGAACAAGCAGCAGAGTCAGGGAAGGGAGTGAAGCACAATGGGCTATCATCGGGAAAACAAAGAAAACCAGTGAGATGGCATAAGAAGTCAAGGCCCTTGGGTTGGCTCATAAGTCAATGGGTGTTTTGTCGGTGGCTCCAGTGACAGCACAGAGCCTTCCTCATTATTTGGACGCGGCCGCTCAGACATGTTCCTGACTCGGGGCCTTGCTCTTTGCTCTCTACTTACCCCCTGCTCTGTGGGTTGGCTTGTCAGCCCCTCCGCAAGTGCTGGAGCACATGCCACTGACTGAAGCCTTGTCCCATACACCGGCTGAGGGCTCTGGAGATACCTCATTTTACACAACCTGAAGATTTCCACCAGCTGAGGTGATGCCACTTTGCACCACTAAGACAAAACAACAAACTATGGCCCTACTCCAACAGAGCATTAGGACTCATTTAGCCTTGTCTCTTATCCATGGCAGATAGATTGAACATTTACCTCACTGGAGAAGTGCTGAAAGGGGCAAAACACATCCTTCATTCAGAGAAAAACAATGTCTGCAAAGTGCTTTGAAAACAGAAAGTACTATTCAAGTGCTGCCATTATTATCATCATCTTTCACACACGGTAGCTGTTGCTAATGAGATACTTCGCCTTAGTACAATGATGCAATTAAACTTACTTTATTTCTAGCAGTGCTTGAGAATTTAATGCAAAAAGTTGCCAAGTTTAGCCCCACCATGTATGTCCACAGCAGTTGAGCTATGCAATGTTTTCAATCCATTGCATTGTGGTGCTTTTCAAGAGGATGTATCAGAGGAATGCTAAGGACAGATTTCAGCCATTCACTGGCTGAATATTTTTATAGGAACCAACATCAAAGATTAAGTAAAAGGAGAAATCAGTATACCAGACTGTTCATCCTCCCTTTCCCAGTAAAACGAAGATTAAAGGACTCAGCTAAGATTTTGGTCAAAAACAGTTCACGGTGAAGAATTTCAAATAAAAGGTTAAAGTTTTGTTTATCTACATGAATGATTTACATAAAAGAAAAAAGAATTACTTCTCAGAAAAAGAATTACTTCTCAGTACTTCTCTACTACCGCCATGAGGTAGATGCATTTTAAACAAAGCTTTTACTTGATGATGTGTGATTGCTTCCACACGAGAAGAGGGATCTCCAAATATGCCCTCAGTAGTACATATATCCCGTACTCCCGAGTTGCTCAGAGACTTATGGATTGTGGGTTTCTTCCCCAAGCTGCATGGCAGAACCGGAAGCGAAAGTGAGCTGGAGATCCCTGTTTTACCCACCTAGATTCAAATTATTTTATGGATCTGATACTCTGCCTTTTGCAGGCTGCAGTGTGCTCCTGCCCACATGATGACCACCATTTCAAGGGTTGCACTTACAGGCCACAAAAAAAAGCCACGGTACTTTTGACAGATACATTCTGGAGATCTAAAGCTGTTTTCCCTCATGTGGCTTTGGATCCCTTCTGGTCTCTTAGAAACTCCAGAATTTTAAATATAGCAATACTTGGGCACTAGTAAAAGATAAAACATCCTTGTAGTTTAACTAGTCCTTACAGTTCAAGTGTGAAGCACTTGGAGCTGGAGAAGCAGGAAGACAAGGGAGGTAATAAATGAAAGCTCTGGAGGAGCCCAGCCTCCACTACCAATATCTGCTTTTTCTCCTCCATGAACTGCTGCTGCTTCTCCATTTGCATCATCCTTTCGGCTTGAGCCTGCTCCTGCTCCCTCTTCATGTCCAGCTCCTCAGTCACCCCCAGTCTCTTTCCCACTGCCTTCCACTTGTTTCTTTTCTTGGTTTCGCGGTCTTCTCTTGCTTCCAGAGCTACCTCCACCCCTAGTCTATCTTTGTGCTTTACAAACAGCTCCACCAACACCTCAGAAGAGCTTCCTTTTAGTTCTTTTTTTCTCACCCCTTAGCTTCCAGGTTTACCAGGTATTGAGCAGTTGTTAACATCACCATCTTTAAAAAGCTCAGTACTAGGTAGTGATCCTATAAATCAAGAAACATGAGTAGCTACTGCTTCACTACCGTGGCCACAAAGATAGAGGACTTTTCACACCAAATTTTAGTATACCATCTTCAGTGCACTGCACTGACTGCACTGATTTTGGCATACACTAGAGGTGATACATCCTGCTCTACCTTTCCTCCTGCGCTGCTCAGAAAAAAAAAAAAAAGCCCACCTATTGCATAGAGGTTGATTTCAGTGATCTGGTGCTGAATTGCTGCTGTGCTTTACTTCATTTAACATCACAGGGGCTGCATGAAGCTGGCAAGAGGCCAGAGGTCATGAGACAAGTGTCTAATTAGCAGCACAATCAGAATACATAGGAGGAAAAGGAGGTGAGGACAGGTGCCCTGGTAGAGCCTGGCTGGTGATGCAACAGCGAAGGAAAGATCTGCCTATGAGAACTGTAAGAATCAAGCGTAATGTACCCTTACTGATCAGAACAGTACCTTTGGCTGCTCCAGGAGTCTTGGTACCTCAGCAAGGAAAAGCCAGGCAGATCTTAGAAAGTGACAATTTTTCTATATCTAAAAGTCTCCCTTTGAAGATGGTTAATCATGGCTGTGCCATCAGCGCAGCTTTGCAGTAACTTTGAGGCATTGAAGGGCATAAGCATATTTGTTTCTTGCAGTTTGTACTTTGCAATGTATTGTCTGTCTTATACTTTACATGTTCTTCCAATATCGTTAATAGTGGTTTTATAAACACATTGATGAAGGTTTTTCCGAAAAGAAAAGCTGTCCTTCTATCATTTTTTAAAACATAAAGGAAGCATTGCTAGGATTTCACTGAAAACAATACCCAAAATGAAATTGTTACTGGAAAATAAAACAGTTTGCTCAGATCTGTAAAAATAAACTTGACAGGAAGCCAATTTTCTGAATGAAACCCTGTATGATCAAGTGCATTATGTTCTTTGTGCTATCCAGAGCTCCAGTAAGCCCACTGTGCAGTGATTTTTTTCTTTTCTTTTCTTTTTTTTTTTTTTGGCAATTCCCTCTGGTCTGGGCAGAGCACGGCATAGAGGATGAACAGGAACTTGGGGTTATGAGGCAATACCATGTGCAAAGTCACAGGTCCTGATTTAAAGTGCAGGCTGGTGGAGATAACTCTCTTTGGAAATTAGTAAAGGCAGGCAGCATTTTCTCTGGTGGCTGTTGCTATTTTGAGCATGGAGAGCAAACTGAAAAAGGGATGTTCCTGCTCAAAGTCACAGTGTCCAACATGAGCAGTAAAAGGAAAAACTGTCTGTACAGTCCCAGGCAATACAAAACACTGAAATTAAGAGCCCCACAGTATTGCCTGCTCTGCAGAGCAGCTGTATCTGGGGTGCTCTTGGGATTGTGACAGAATAGCCAGAGGGATGAGAAAGAGATTTTTTTTCCAGCTTATTTGCCTCGTAACACCTCTGAAGGAAGGTGCTCCTGGCTATGAAGGCCACCCCCCTAAAAGTCAATTTCTAGCTCTCTTTAGTCTCTTGCGTTGCTGAGGATGAACTCTGAGAAATGGTTAATGCTGCCCAGCTCTCTGGAGAGAGAACAAGACAATGCTGAGTGGTGGTTTCTGGACATCAGAAATTCATCTTTGCTTCTTCCCAGAGGGCGATAATATCTAACAACTTCGTATAGGTTCACCTGAGAACATAATGAAGGGAGATAGCAGCGTCTTGCTAGAAAATAAATCCTCAAATACTTGACAGGCTTGTTAACTCAAAGTTTGTAGATAAGAAGAGGCAGAGCCAAGTGACTCTCTGGCTCTTATATATATGGAGATGTCTGCTGTGCGTGCCCTGCGGGAGGTATGGAAAGGTACACAGGTCATGGATGGGCACAACAGAGCAAGCAGCAGAACGGCAAGGCATTCAAAATATCACTGAAATATTTTGGAGACCAGCCATACCTACACAAGAATTATTGTGATATAAAAGTTACCCCAATGTAAAATAACTTTTGGGTGCAGTGTGGCATGACCTCTGGAAGAACTTCTAAATTCATTTTGTATGTGGAGATCTTTTTGCTCCATTGCAATGGGGTGCATACTGTCCTAGAGGCAACAAACTCTCAATGAGGAGTGAAACTGAGTTAGGCACTTGAGAAGTTGTCTGCTACAAAGAACATACTTGTCAGACAGATCGTTAATTGGCATAAATGAGCAAAGATACAGCCAATAAAATTGCTCAGATTAACATCAACCCTATAGTTTGACATGAAGAAAATTCAATCGCAGTAAAGAGCTTACTGTTGCTTAATTTAGCTTGCCTTCCTAATAGTAATGCTGACAGCAAAGCAATATTGATGAAGCATGGGTTACTCTTTGCAGTCCCATGCCAAGTATAGAAAATTAGAAAAGAAAAACAGGAGTGGAAAGTCTTGCACCAGTTGG